AAACTTTGTATTTTCATAAACTGAAACTTTCAATCATTTTTAAAAATTAAAATAATTTCATTATTGTTTTATATTTACAAGTTTTTATCTATTTATTACTATTTAAAATACATAAACATACATGTTATTTTTTTATTCTTTACCATTTAAAATACATGAAAATAATGAAAATACAGAATATTTTCATTTTTTTAAAAGCACAAAAAAAAAATTTTAAGTATATGAAAAAAATTTCCAAGATAAAAATTATACAAAAATATGTGGCTGATGAAGATTGATTTAAACCAATCATATTCGAGAAAAAGGGGGTCTAGGATAAAGGCCTACACTTGAGGTACAGGTTAGGGAACCCTATAAATGAATAAGAAAAACATGTGATTAAAAGTGCACATTGACATAATGCTATCTGGCTACTTTTGCATAATTTAAGATAAGGTGATAAATGAAAGTATCTGAATATTTGATTGGATTTATATTAGATCTCATGTTTAAATCAATATACTGCAATCTAATTAGTGAAATTAGATTTCTTTAGGTTTTAATTTCTCAAAAAACTGGAAAAAAGTATTTCAAGAGAGATTGATAAAGATTCAGTAAATAAATTTCTGCAAAAAAAAATAAATAAAAAAAAAAATTCTATTAGAGATTCATTATACAAAATTAAAATAATGTTCAATTGAATGTTTATAAATAAACAAAAAATAAATAAAATAAAATTTAGTTCAAGAATCTTTTTGTTTTGATAAAGATGTATCACTATATTAACCATCATACTTATACATTAAAAAATTATTTCTGATATAAAAAAAAAATTTAACAAATGTTTTTAATGCTTTTTTTTTTTTAAAAAAAAAAAAAATAATTATACATATGTACCTAAATTAAACATCATTTAAGTTTTTGTCTTTGTTCAATAAATTTTAAATATGGATTTATTTATACCAAATACACATTAATATTTAATATTTAACTAAAATAAAGATCTAAACTGTATACTTTCTTATTATTAAACTATAGAAAATGTAAAGTTTGAAAGTTTTGATACAGAAAGTTCATAACGCAATAATCAGATAAGAATTACACTTAAGCCTTACTTAAGTTTCCCATGAAAGGATGTAATTATAAAGAAATTTTCAAAAAGAATTTTTTAGATTTCTGATAAAGATTAAATTTTTCAATTGTCTTTAATCATTACAAATATATATGTGTAACTTATAACACTTTAACTCCAACTCTTTGATAATAAAGTTTGATTAATCTGCATTTTAATTAAACATTTTTCTTTTTTCGTAAATATAAATCAATAGTTTATTATTATGATTGTATTTTCCTCTTTTTATTAAGATAGAAAAATCTTAATAAATAATAGCCTTTATTGCTTATTCAAAAAAGAAATTAAAGTTTTGTTCGTTAGAACTTTGCAATTGCAATTTATTTTTATCCTATTTTAAAGTATTAATACATATATAATCAAAATGAATTTAAAGTTCTCAATGATTATAAGTAATAAATATGTGAAATTTTTATAATTAAATAAGATTAATTGTGTATATAAAGATTAAAATATCAAAATTAGTTTTCTTAAAATGAGAAATTTTAAAGGCTTAAAAGAGAACAAACTAGAGATTGGAATCAATTATCGAATCAAAATCAAATCTCATTTTTTGAAAGGAAAATTGAATTTAAACAAAAAAATGAATTTAACATTGCATTCAAAGATCAAATACATGGTTTAAAGCATTTTCAAAAAATGAAAATTGATTGGGGCAAATGATTGGCAATGATCGGCATCTGTGTTATAGTAATTTACAGTTTAAATATTTAGCAACATTGTATAAATTTTTCTTATTTATTAACCATGGAATTAATTATTAAAGTTTAAAATAGATTATCTTTTAAGAAACAAAAAATCGAATCTCCAAAGATTCGATAATCGATTTCAAATTTTTTTTATGATTTAAAAGAGAAATAGCTACCTTATTTAGTGCTAATGTGGTCTTTATAAGGTAATCTGTTAAACTTATCAAAAAAAAATATCATCTTAAGAGACACGATCACTTGGTCAAATAATGAGTAAAATCTAACTCAAATAATTACCATTTCTTACCTACGTAGTAATGTTTATTATTAGGATAAAATTTTTTAGTACTAATGACCATAAAAAGTATTTAAGACTGATATTGATTAATTTTTTAAAATATAATTGATATTTATTTAATTAATTAGGAACTTTTATGTTTTAAACTATTAAGAGAATATAAACTGCAAGTTATCAAAATCTTATGACATATATTATCAATATTGACATGAAAATTTTTTTTTTTTAAGTTCCCATACCTCTGCGCCTGATATCGTGTAATAAAATCTAACGTTTTCCTTATTCAGCGATCTTTTTAGTAAATTTTTCATAAAATTGAATATTATCTACAGAATACAGTACATTTAATTGTTTCTTTTAGACCCATCAAATATTATAGTTCCATCCGGGTTATTAAAAGGAAATGATTAATTAACAAAGAAAATTATATATATTACACTTAATTTTTATTATTATTTCAATTAGGTAAAATAATTAAAGTTTAATCTTGTCATTCATAAAAATTTTGTCGAATTATTTTTCAATTAAATGATCCTGAATTGCTTTCAATTATTATTGAAAAATCTAGATAAAATAAAATTACAAGTTTCTTTGAAGAGTAAAGTATTGTTAAGTTTGCTTAAATTCATTATTAAAAAGTTGAGTTTTCTTGAAGGTTCATTATATACAGGAATAAATAAACGTGGAAAATTAATTAATCATCACGTAAAATTTAAACATTACACAGCGTCGCCCGAAAAAAATGGTAGCCATATTTGTTTTCTTATTATTATGGGAATAGGATTAGTTAAGGGTTAGAAAATTTCGTGTCGAATTCTGGCCCGTTGCTTCATTTTATTAATTGTCACAAGTAAATGTCACACCTAATATGATAAATTCGGCTAATATACTTTTTCTGGATGGTCGAAATTTTTGCGCAAAGTGGGCATTGTGCAAATTTTTTACATAAATCAAAAGTAATTTAGCAATTGTATAATTAACAAAAGATAATAAATCAATTTATAATAAATATAATTAGTTTTATTATATAACAGTACATTAATATGATCCTAACTCCAATAATATATTATTTTAACTCTAAAGAAAAAAAAAGTGCTGCACCATTTGCGCTCAAAGTTTTATATTTATATGTATATAATAAGCCATGTTCAATAAGTGAAATATAACCATCTTAAAAGAAAAAAAAATTTAAAGAAAAACCTAATAGGAATTAATAAAATTTTAATTCAACTATAAAATAAGTGACCTAGTTTAAAGAGAAATTATTCAAGTATTGTAAAAGATGAAGTTCGAGACTTTTTCCTTGATCAAATGTTAAAGCTAACTGTTCTTGTCCCATATTCTGTTCAATTTCAATGCCATGAATATTTTTATTTAAGTAATTATTAATAAAAGAAGGGGAAATAATTTCACAAGATACCTGATAAATTTGATCATTACATTGCTGTTGATAAAAGAAAACATATTCATTTTGTTTTAAACGCATTATATTTTCCTTACGCAATAACTTTATAATGAGATCATTAGAGATTTTTTCACAAATAACATGATACTGACAATATTCGTTTGGTGGTCGATAAATAAACGTGTTAGGATGAACTGGTTGTCTTTGAATTGTAGGATTTCCAAAAGAATTAGTTTGAGATGGCTGATAACTTGGAGCAGATTGCATTGAATCTGCCTGCGACGGAGTGGAAACCACATGACACATGTTCTCACTTGATGCAGTTGAACTTTCGGTTACTTGTTCAAGATTCGATTGAGATGAGACGATGAGATTGTTGTTACCTTGAGAAACCGCGTAATAAGTAAGATTATATGAAGGTGAAAAGCTCTCTGAGTTAGGAATTTGAATTTGTGAATTTGTTGGATTCATATTATCGTAGATCTAAAAGATTTCAATAAAAGTTAATCGATTGTCTGATATTTATTTATAATTTTTTGTTTTCTTTAACGAATTTTAATTTTAAAATTTTTAGAAAAACTGTCCTTTTTATACTGTCTCATTGCACGGTCGATCTTAGATTATATTTTTATTGGTCTCATAAATACACGTTTCTAAGCCACTTTTTTTTCCAAATGTAGTATTTGCGAAGCATGTGATCCCGTCGTTAATTGTTAATGTGCGTTTACATATTTGTCACGCAATTATCTGTCACCCGATCGGCGTAACCTGTCACGCATTTAAGTTGTGCAAGTATCACAATAAATGACAAAGTCAATAGAATGATCATACTCTTTTACCGATCTACATAATCTTCGCCATGCCTAATAAGAAATCCTCCAAAAATAAAAATCTTCTAAATCCAACTTTCAATACCATTCCCTTTAATGATTTTACGAACTTGCAACTTTTGTTGCAACAGCATAACCAACTATTGGCACTTAATGAAGCTGCTTTACAACAAAGAAAAAGTAAATTTTTTTTTTTTTACTTTAATATTTGTAATATTTATCGCTCAAGCATACTCTATCAATTGTAAATCATTAAAAAAAAAGGTGGTTTGTAACTTTCTGAATATTTATTGAAAATAAGAAACTCTGATACTTTTTCAGTCAATCAGATTATATATTGGTCTATTAATTGAAGTGCTTGAGAACGCTCTTTGCCTTTTCTTTCACAAATAATTAAATCAAATTTATGTATGGTCCATATGAAATTTATTATTGATCGATTTTCATATAGCTGCCTCTTCTACGTAACTGGACGCGTTTTTTTTTTTTAAAAAAAAAAATTCTTATTTACAAAATAAAAAATAATACTTTCGGGCACAGCTCAAGGAAAAATTTTTTTCATTAGGATTTTCAAAAAAAAAAAAAAAAAAAAACGCTGTCCCATTATTTTTTATGTTATAATATCAGATATGCATATCAATTTAACTTTAATATGTTTGAATTGCTAATTTAGAAAAAAAGTTATCGAATTTTAAAAAATTTGGAATTTTTCTACATATAGGTTTGGTTTAATTAGTCATGTTCTAGTAAAAAAGACCATAAGAAACAGGTTTTTACGTAAATGCTGCGTAAGTTTTTTGGAAAGCATAAAAATATAATCGGAAACTTCTTAAAATATCAATCATATTAAAAATATTAATATCCAAATTTCAGACATCATATGGGACCTTTGCAATAAATAGAAAGGGGGGAAACAGCCGGAAAAAATCAATTTTACTTTTATATGGCAAATATGATTTTTGGACAAAATATGTTCAGAATTAGCATTAACTCGATTTTATTTTTTCCAGCCGTTTCCCCCTTTTCTATTGCAAAGGTCCCATATAACAAAAATATGCATGAATTCACTATATGGCTTTAAATAATTAAAGCGAGAATTTAAAAATAAATTTATATAAAAAAAAAAGAAAAATTAACATTGTTAAAGTATGAATTAGATGAATTAAATGAAAAAAATAATTATATATTAATTGAGAAATAGTTTCTTTAAAGGTCATCTCTTCACAGATGATTTGATCATTATGACAAGGTCTATAAAAATGAATTTTAATCATATTAACGCTCCTCTTGAGTTGCATTACTAGGAGATGCCTGAAAATTTTGAACTGAAGTCATCAGTTGTGTATTACTTTTGTTGATGCCTCACTATTAATAACGATATGAGGATTCAGATGTTACGAGAGAAAAAAATCTCATAATGAGTTGCAGTATTTTGTATCGACACGTAAAGTTAGGTTCGCCAGGACTTTGCATTATAGGATAATAAATGTAAGTTTAATTTGTGTTTTTAAAAAACAATATTATGAAATTGGTGGATCGAGTTATTTGTTTCTGTTTAGAAGATTAAATAAAAAAGACAACTTTCTTACAAAAATTAATGTGTGAAGAATGTTATATTTATAATAAATAAATAAAAAATAAATAAATAATTTGTTTCACCAAATTTTTTTTAATGCAACATGTCGTTAGGAGATATATGGGACCTTTGCAATAGAAAATGGGGAAACGGCTAGAAAAAATAAAAATCGAGTTAATGCTAATTCTGAACATATTTTGTCCTAAAAATCATATTTGGCATATAAAAGTAAAATTGATTTTTTCCGGCTGTTTCCCCCTTTTTATTGCAAAGGTCCCGTATTATTATCTATATTTTTTTTTTATATTGATAGTCGGAATAATCGTCCGGAGACATTATAAATACGAAATATTGTAAATTGTATATTGAATACATGTTGAAGAAACTTATACCTTTGTTCTTAATTTACATACATGTACAGTATATTGGGAGGGTTATCTAGGAAAATCAGGTTCCGAGAAATTTTTCACTTAAATTAAGAGCTTAATACATTTTAATCTAATAACATCAAAAACTAAAATGCAATAAAAATCTCAATTTTGTTAAAACCGATTATGCTTGATTTGGTTGACCAGATCGGCTTGTACGACCTTTTGACGGAAAATAACAAAAAAAAAAAAAAGTTTCCATTAGAATTTAAATAATTTGTCAAGCATTTTAAGTTTCTCATAAATTTGCCAAACATGTTTAACAAATAAAAATTAAAAATTAATATATTCAACTAGAGACAGAGGAGAAATGAATACGGATTATGTTATAAAATTAAGCAATAATGTTGTTTTTACAATTTGATGTTTAAATAACTTTTTGACTCTTCCTCCAATCAAACTTTCGAAATTTCAGACAGGACAAAAATTTAATAATACGTTACATGTAGGGATGTTAAACGGTCCTAAAAGTCCCAAGAAAATTACAAAGAATTATTTTTATTAACTTGCCTATTATAAAGTTACTTAATGAAAATAAATAATAAATTACCTGTGCAGTCCCATCAATGTATGGTAAATATTATACGGGTGCATATTAAGCGTAATCATGTAACTAGGGATGTTAAGCGGTCCTTAACCTGTTCTTACGATTTAAGAGGTTACTATCTTAGAGAAGTCTAATTACTTATCTATAATAAGTACTTCCGATCAAAAAATTGTCATAAATATTTTATAATTAATTTGTAAAAAGCGAAAAAATATGCAATTATGCAGGCTTTGAAAAATAATAATTTTTATATTTTACTAGAATTGCGCATACATGTATGATATTTATATTATATTTACAAAGAATCGGAAATTTTAATATCTAATGCAATTTACAATATTTACAAAGCAACGCAGATTCATAACGTTCGTATTTAAGAAATCGTAATATTGCAACGTGGGTAATTTTTAATTTATTGTTGAAAAGTCAAATTAGAATGCGAAAATGACATTTTGGTTTTATATAACAAAAGTAATACTCCAAAAAATATTTCCTTTCAAGCATCTTTTTTTTTTATATATTAGCATTACGCTTTCATTCTATCCGAACAAAAAGAGAAATTTTGCAAGTTTAGATAATACAGTATATAATGTTGGGATTTCCATATAAAAACATCATTACTTTATGAAACCGAAATCTTTTTCCTAACTGATAAATCACGAACGAATTCAAATATATATAAAAATTTTTTTTTAAAAAAAAGAATTCAAGCAACGTATGTTCGGATCAGATATTTACCGGAGTTAAGCCATAATTTACAATACTTTAATGAAAACATATTCAATTTAACTTTATTTATAGACACAAAGGTTTAAATTTGCTTAAGCTTGATTTATATATTATTCCCAATTTGATGATATCGTAAATCCGTTTCATATTGAAAAGGTATTGATTGTGATGCGGTCTCATACGCATCCTGATTGATATAATAATCATCAGTAAACTCTAAAAATTAGATGTAAACCTGAATATGTTACATTCTTTGTATCTAATGACTTTACTGTTGAGAAAACCGTCGTTTTCTGGTGAAAGTGAGATCTTTACCGGAGATGTCCAACTGTTCGAGCGAGACCGTTAGGAAAACACAATTATATCCAAAATCGATAATTTAACCTACCAAATCTCTTCATTTGGACCACCATTGGTGTTTTAGTCCCTTTAAATTCAATGGTCGACTTTTTTGAAAATTGTACAATAATGGTCGAAGGTATTCCTTCAACAGAATGTAGCTGTTATATTAAAATAAAGAATTATAAATCAAAAATTCAATCAATACAAATCCAATGCTTACCTTCTCACTGCATGATGAAGAATATTTTTTGAGTGACAATATGACAGCGCACAAAAAAATTTCGCCATTCTTAGCCCAGTCATAGTAAGTGTGCAAGCGGTCATTCCCATGGCTCCACGACTTAATCAATTTAAATGAATTAAATTTATTGAAATTCTCAGTCACAAAACGAATAGAAAATGAACATATTAGGAAACTTATCATTTGGAAATATGTGGCGAATCACACAAGTATTCCGCGATGATAACTTTCTAAAAATCTCACTTTTTTTTGTTGGTATCTAAGGGAAGAATAGATTTCTCTGCGACTGGTTCCTGCCTGCCGGAGAAAAATTTTAACTACATGATTTCTGCTTCTCTTCTCGCTTGACCGTTCTTAATGTCAGCACGGAAATCATTATCGTTGATAGATGTCCGCGAAATTAGCGCTTCAGAAGGTTCTGCTCCTGCAATTGCTCATTCACTTTGATCGACTATGCTCATTGGATGGCCCCTGTTCGTTGCGACAATGTGATATGTCATATATATGACAACAGAATCCAAATCTCTTTCGCAACCTATTTTTATAAACAGTATGATGTCGAAATATATTTCAGAATTGGAAGGCAACTTATTAAATGCATCATACCTTTTCTGCAGTTAATATTTTAATAATCTCCTCGGTATTATGGCAATAAACTATGCAATAAAAACTTCACAACATCAACAAGCTTTTGGAAATAGATCCAGAAAACGTATTAGCACTTGTACATCGTAGTAATATGTACCTCAATCAAGACAACATAACTGCACTTTCAATACGTGGAATTGTATATCGAAATCTTAAAAACTATGATAGGCATTGGCTGATTTTATCAAAGCTCAATGGATCGGTCCAGACGATGCACCTTCACTTGAGAATCGAGGTCGATCGTATCAATTGCTTGATAATTATTATGATGCGTTGATCTTAACAGAGTGTGAAATATGCACTTGTGATATACATCGATTGCTAATGAGTCACTGGTTGTCCTTGAGAAAAGCCTAAATATGAATCCAGATAACGCATTTGCACTTGTAAATCGAGGTGAAGTGTATCGACGGCTTGGTAACTTTGACGAGGCACTATCTAATCTTTATGAAGATCTGAAGATCGATCCTGAGGAAGACTTGCACTTATAGCTCGTGATATTGTGCATAAACATCTTAAGAATTATGATCAGGCTCTAGCAGATCTTAATATGGTTTTGAATTTTGATCAAGAAAGCTCTTTCAGTTCGTGGTAAAGTATATGAACTGCAGCTCGTGCACACATATATAGAATGCTTCATAATCATGAATGTGAACTGTTTGATATTAACAGGATCTTGAAAATTAATCAACCAAACAACAACAACATATGCTCATTATTCGAGGTGACATACACAACGGTTTAATAATTACGATCTGACACCCGCCGACTTTGACAAAGTTCTGGAGATTGATTCCAAGGTAATAAATTGGACAAATTTACTCTTAAAAGACGAGATACAGTCCTTCAACTACGACAAGGCACTAATTAATCTTGATAGAAGTTAAATACTGGAATTGTATTGCGTAATGATAAGTTAAATAAAATGCTTTCAGAGACGTTGGATAAGGCAAATTCAAAGACTCACGGTAGTTGCTCTTCGAGGTTTTATACTTGGAAAGCATTAAACGAAATTGAGGAACTCGATCAAAATTACGTATATGCATCGGCGATGCGAGCGAGACGAGTTATGTGAAATGTGAAAACAGGTGTAAATGCTACAACAAGAGTTTGATTCAATATTGACTGGTATCAAGTTTATCTTTGATGTCAAATTTATTTAGAATCGTACTCGGAAACAAAAACTTATTTTTTATTTTTATACAAATTTAAATTCAATTCCGATTCTCATATGAACATAAACGTAAGCACTACAACTTTTAGGCCACGTTCATGCTGTGTTAAATCAGAACATAACTTTCAGTATTGCAAGATTTTTCTTAACGGCGTTTGACAAGTCCGGAACGAGCCCATTTTAAATTCACGTGATATAATAATCGTAATAGATCGGCAGTGAAACAAATAAACATTGAACAAACAAAGAGCGGGAGAACAGACGGAAAAGACGGACATGTGTAACATTGATTCTCGTATTTAATAGTCCTACGTTACACTCTGGACTAATAAATAGAAAAACTTTGGAACTACTTGTTTAAATGTCAGACCATGCTTCTAATGCAATAAAATACTCAAATGGTGTTATGTATGTGATTGTGAACGATTAAAATCACAAATTGACGAATTTATTAAAGAAATACATGATGTTATAGAATGGATACCGTATACATGATTTGAGAATATTAACCTATTGGTGAGTCAAGATGGTTAAAGCTGACTGCTTAGATGGGCAAATTAAAAAATGGAGAAATGATGTAAAACAGTGGGAAAAAGATTCGATTCTAATATCATATTCACATAATGATATTGATATGGAGACCTTTTGTTTTACTAATTAATGGAAAAATGTTGGGATTACGATCATAGAAATCGGCCCAATGCTTACAATATTGAAAAATGGTTTGAAGACCTTCAAAAAGCAATCGAGTTACATTCAATGTTATTAACGGAATGTGAACAATATGAAAATGAACATAAAAGCGAAATTATTAACTAGAAGGATTTGAAAAATTTAGGGATTATATCGCAAAGAACTTTTTGATATGTAATGAAATGAATGCTTCTACGTTGGACGAAGCGGATGAACAAACTAAAAAATTACCATCCAATTTTCCTAATTGTTCACAACCACCTCCCAAGACATTTAGAATTCCAAGGTCTTAACGTTTTCTTTTCTCTGTTCAATTGTAAATTAGATAATCTCTTTTAGACGTTAGTATTAGTATTTTGTATTGCTTATTAACCTTATGGTTTACGCAAGAAATATATTTCTACCGATTTTTAATACAATTTTCAAATAAATTCAAAATTATATGTAAGAAAAAAAAGGTTGGGTTGTCGAAGAGTTATAATGTTTGACATATAGATATTCGGAATTTCACCTTGACGAATAACATGATCTTTGTGTTTTCTCTAAATCGCTTAGCGTAGCAAATTTAGTGTGGAAAAAAGCATAAAAATTCCGGAGCATGTGACCGAAATTTAAAAAATCTTTTCCGGCATTAACAACAGGAAAAATTCCAGTCTTATAAAATTTTACCGGAAATTTACCGGTGAATTAGAATGTCACAATTCCGTTCTTTTTTTTTTGGAGGATAATTGAATTAATAATCTTAAAAAACGTGGCGCGGTTAATTTAATTATCAATACTTTTTATATCGAGACTTTATTTTATCTAAAAAATTATATATTTGTAAGACAAAAAGGTTGCGACAGTCAAGTAAAATGTCGATCATTTATATAATTGGTTTTTAACATTCAATACGAACTTATACAAGGGTTGTTTCTTTTAATTTTTGAGCAGCGTTAACGCGTAAAAGAAAATGAGGGGGTTTTTTTTTTCAAATCTAATAATTACTTTTATTTAGGCGTACTATATTTAAAAAATTTAATTTTTTTAATTATTCACTTGTATTATTAACATCAATAATAATAAAGATAAAATAAAGAATAATTGATTACTTTTAAATCAAAATAAATTAATTTCGTTTACTTATTATTAAATACGCAAATTCCATTCACTTATTATTAGAATACACAAAGTTTGATTACTTTATTATTGAATGAACAAATTTTGATCACTTTATAATAAAATAATCGTATCATTTACAAATATGTTAGTTATAGATTAATATTTAGGTTATAACTTTGTGAAGAGGTACCAAGTTTAATTATAATATTATTATTAATGCAAGATAAAGGATTTCAGGTATTAGTACTAGATAAATGCTTTCGATTTTTGCTATAAGAAGTAATCAATGGGAAATTTGACTTGAATTTTGAATATTTTGTGTTGCAGAAGCTTGAGTTTGAGATTGAGCTATAAGAATTTGGATTTCTTGAACAGTAGATATAGGCGAATCATTATATACAACAACTTTTATTAAATCTTTCAACAACTCGAAGCCACTTTGCAGTATTTTTTCAGTATTTGAAACTAGCGATGCTTATTGATTTCCTCCTGTGTTGGAAGTTGAGAGGCTTTTGTAAAGTTCATAATTTCTTTATAAAGTTTTTTGAAAACAGTAAAAAGTTTGCGAAAAAAAGCGTGAGAAAAAGCGTTCAAGTGATCAATAATATTTATATAAAAAAGGATCGGTGTTTTCGTCATACATATCCAATAACCTTAATATCGGTCATGTTATCATGTGGCCTTCGGCCACATGATAAAGTAGTATTCCTAGCGTGTAATCAATTATTATCCATAACAATTACTTACAATAAAACTTTAGTTTATATTTTAACTTTTAACTATGAATATATTCTTACAATTTATCTTTATTTTACTCATAAAAATTAATTAAAGAAAGAAATTATTTTTTTAACAGAAAAATATACTTGAATCAAATATTCAAATAAGTTTTTTATTATTAATAACGTTAGAAATTAGTTAAAAGAATTGTTGTGTAACAGAAATTTTAAATGTACATATATGAAAAATCGTTTAGAATCGACATATCCTATGACGTAAAATTCATTTCTTTTTTAAAATGGGAAAATGGGATTGGATATAGTTAGTATAAAAAAAAATTTTTTCCATTTGGGGGGTGTGTATGAAAATTGCTTAATAACAATTGATTTTTTTTTTTTTTTTTTTGAATGTTTTGTATCCATTTGGTCTAGATTTTTTACGAAAAAAAAAAAACAGGAAATGTATGTTATTATCATTGTTGTACCTTTCAAAAAGTAAATTTAGCTGATATTCTAAAATAAAAAATTTATATTCTCATATTTTAAATCGAAGCGCCAAAATTTTTTTCTTTTTAACATCAGAACAAAGTGATGCCGTTTCCATTTCAGTTTGTAGTCAGTCGGCGTTTTTTTCATTTATTAGACAAATCAAGATTTCATCACGTTCACAACTTATTTGTTGTCTACTATGCCCGATTTCTTTCATCGATTTATATAAAAAAAATTATGTGAAATCTAAAAAATTTTTTATAAAAACCGAGCAAAATTCTCGTCAAAAAAAAAATTTCTTAGAAATCCCATATTTTCATTTATTAATATATATAAGTTGAAAATAATTTTACAATGTATCAAGATACTTCACAAATCAATTTTTCAACAAACAATTGTGAAAAACACGACAGTTTTGGAATCCAGTCAGGACTATCGCCATCGAATATTCTTTGCCGTGTAAACGCTGACTTTTCCGCGACAAGTGATAATAATTACGCAGCATCTTACACAATTGCGCCAACCATAACTAATAATGACAAACAGTATTGTTCTACGACCTCTTTAGAATCAACATCTCACACTTCACAATTTATCGGTTATAATGCTAATGATCATTTAGAACCGAATAAACCAACGTCTAATCCAAGCATCTTTCCTCCACTTATTAGACCCACAATTAATTCACCTAGAATGACTCATGCTAGCTCTCCTCAAATTCAAACGGTTGAATTTCCAAGTTTTAAAATTATTATAATCCCAAAATTAACTGGTCTTGACATGCAACATCAACTTCAACAAGGCAATACTTGCTTGGATTATCCACAATTAAATCAAGAACAGAATTATTCCTTTGCAATAAATGGATACGAATCTACACCTTCTCCGATGACAGGTTTAACCAGTTTAGACGTGCAGCATCAACTTCAACAAGACGATACTTATTTTCATAATTCTTCTTATTCGGTTAATCCACCATTATCAAATCAAGAACAGAATCATTTCTTTGCAATAAATGGATACGAATCTACACCTTTTCCATTTTCTTATTCGGTTAATCCACCACGATTTAATCAAGAACAGAATTATTCCTTTACAACAAATGGATACGAATCTACACCTTCTTCATTAACAGGTTTAACCAGTTTAGACGTGCAGCATCACCTTCGGCAAGGCAATACTTGTTTGGATGATTCTTATTCGGTTAATCAACCTCAATTAAGTCAAGAACAGAATTATTTCTCTGATGCACGTTTCAGATAATGTACGGTACATCCCCAACGTATTCCAAAAATATTTAGAATTAAAATATTCGCTTAATAACTTCAGCTTTTTGGATGATATCACATTGAGAATTTACATCGCGTTTTCTTTTTTTATATAATTTATATCATATTTTTGTTTTCTTTTTTTCTTTGTTTATGTTTTATTATTATACATATTTTGACAATGTATGATTTATTATTACCTTATAAATAAAGTTTTTTCGGATTTAAATGTACAGTTAGTTCAAAAGTTTGAAATACGTTTTATAACCTTTGTTTGTGGATTATTTAAATTTTCAGATGTACCAAAAAATGAGTACCTTGTTGCAATGCTAAATATTAAAAAAACAATGATTTTAAGTAAATTTAACGTTAATTTTATAAAACATCCGTAAAATAATATTGACAAAAATAATAATAATAATAATAGCTTTAATAATAATTTCAATCACGGTTTAGATATTTGTTGTTTGGGTGTTCATTTCAAAATCGATTCTAAAGTGAATAAGCAACTTTAACGTTTAGAGTGGCAAAACGAGTTAAAAAAATTATCAACTGAAAAAGTTCCCTGTTAGTTAATTAAAGTTTGATACTTTAATTTTACAATGTTAATAATATAACTTCTACCTCAACTGCGGGCACTCGGCTATTGACATACGGCTAGTTAAAAATAAATTCCATTCATAAAAAAACATATCGTAATATTTGTAAAATAAAACAACAAAATAATAAAAAATAAACAGTTACTCTTGTTACATAACCGGCTAAAAACATAAATATACTTTCATAAATGATTTATTTCTTAATAAAATTAAAATAGTTTAACTAAATCAGATTTCGTATGCAGTAATCTCTATATATCACATAATATGATTAGCATTAACATTATTTTTTACTAATATTAAAAATTAAAAAATTAGCTATATAATAA